AATTTCACGTCGCAACATTTATATAAATTTTATAGGGAATATGGAGCCGACCGATCCCCGGAACCTCGAAAAGTTTTCTAGGGTCGGAGCGCACAGTACCCTACCGAGCCTCCGCACCTACAAAACCGGAAAGTGTTAGCCGTCCGTCCGAGCGACCCCAAATGTCAATATGATCAAAATGGGTTCCTAGGGTCGGGACTCGGTACGCACCCTTGGGGGCCGATGCGCCAACACAGTACACTTTTCAAGTTCAAGGATCCAAATGTGACCACCCTATAATTTAGTACGAGCCTCCTCCGCTTTTTCGAGGCATTTCACAGAGCTCAGCGCTTCTTCTAAGAATCCAATGAATCCTCCACGAAATCTCAGATAAACTGAGTTTTTAGAATGGAGCAGCCCACGGTGCCACCTCCCATCAAGCCGCCTTTCACTCTTGAGACCGCCCTTGCCAAGGTAAGTCTGCTCCTCCTGACAGACAGTGGACCGGGGAACTCTGCCTGCGGCTGAGCTTGAGCTCTTGCAGATGCCCAGCAAGCCGAGCGCAGCATTTGGTGAAGCACCAGATGGAATGGACATTGGCAGCATTCTGTTGCAAAATTCTTATCGAACATTCTGGAGGATTGAAAGGAATAAATCTTGCATTGCATGATGGTGCATTGATCCTTTCTCTGAGAAGAAACCTGACTGATGTATATATTCGATACCAGCCCTCTTTCCTCCGTCGCCACAATGGACTTCTTGGAGAGCAACATTGCATTTGCCCTCACATGTAGTGACGTGTTTTAAGCAATACTTGCCGGTTGCATTTCTGAACATGAAAAATAGCGCTTCCCATTGACTCGCAAATCTCCCGGCAGGGGTTGATCGTTTCAAGGAATGATGGATCGACATTTTGTCAATCTGCATATCTTTCTTGAACCCGTGACAGGTGAAAGCCGCTGAGAATGCGTGGAACTCCAAGGACCCACATCGCGTCTCCTTGGCCTACACCCCCGACTCCGAGTGGCGCAACCGCACTGAGTTCTTTACAGGGCGGCCCGCCATCAAGGAATTTCTGACGCGCAAGTGGCAGAAGGAGCTGGACTACAAGCTGATGAAGGAGCTGTGGTGCTACCAGGTGCGCCAGGCAGGACACTCCAGGGGAAGAGGGCTGGCTCAGGCGCCCGCACAAGCACAACCAGAAAGTGGAGCCAGCCGCAGCTCAGGGCTGGGGGTGCAGGTGGAGAGCCTTCAGCTGCATTGCCCTTGCCTCATACAAACAACGGGTTGAGTTTGACTTGGCCTGTGAATTTTATGGTGCAGGGAAACCGGATCAGTGTCCGATTTGAGTACGAGTATCATGACGACTCTGGGCAGTGGTTCAGAGCACACGGCAACGAGGTGAGCCAGAATCCGGCCTCTCACCCATGCTTGGTCCAAGTTGTCCTGTAGCCAGAGCTCACATGTTGTCAAGGTGAAGCCCAATTTGAATCGACCAGGCAAATTCCTCCTTCTGGCACAGTGCTGTACATGGCTTGGACACAGTGAAATGCAGGATAGGAAGCAAGAAGTAGATCCAAGGGCATGAAAAGAGTACACATGTTGGGCCAAGTGCAAATACCTCAGAGGCATGCCATGCTGACCCGTCAAGTAAGTTTGTCAAGAAGGTCCGATTTGTTGTACATGCTGTAAGTGATGCTTGCAATCCTGTAGAACAATGCCCATCGAAAATGAAAGTGATTGTGATCGGATGCTTTCCTTACAGCACTGGGAATTTGATGACGAAGGCTTGATGCGACGGCGGGATATGTCTGCGAATGACTACCCAATTCAGGAGAGTGAAAGGAAATATTTGTAGCAATTGAAAACACATACATAGACACATAGACCGTGACCAAAAATGGTCGCACTGTACCTAAGTCGTGACAAAATGCACCTCAAAACAAGCATATTGTAACCTGGAGTAAACATGGAATCGACTTTGATAATCTGGCAGATACAGGCCTCAAGTGAAACGTCATCTGTGGTTGGCTTAGTGCAATTGTATAAAACACATTTCCTGATAAGTTCTGCCATGAGACGCTCAACCGCGTCAGATGCACAATTAGGTAGACCGACGCAGGCTAGCTACCTGTTGATACAAACCAGTCTGCCTCCAATGTTGCTGCAGTGCATGGCTGCCGCGGCAAGTTTTCTCGATTCGATCATGTAAGATCAACACTATCCGAGTAAAACGAGTCATGCACATGACGGGGCTCAAGCTTCGGCCGCTTATTATAAGTTAAATACAAAGCTATCACTGATGACCGGCTTAAATGTATCGACAATTTCTACATCCCAAAGGGGGCATGCCTATGTCGTTATAAACGTCCACAATCATACTATGTTTGAATTTCGTGTGCGCTTGATCAGTACCAATCGTCAAGTTCGCGACTCCTGCATGTCACTGGCCTCACTGCATGTGTACATGCATGATTGCAACGACAATTAACGCATGCGCTGGTTAATTGGAATCTATACTTTTACATATCACGCACATGACGGTGCATGTTACTACAATTTCCAGCGGCAATATTTGCGCGTGGCCCCGTATGTGCTTACATGGCAACGCGTGCCACATATGTGTGCGCAGACAATTGTGAACATGGTACGCACCGCGAAATCTTGATAGCATGGGAATTGAAAGCAGCTAGATATCTATAGTATGCTGCAAACTGTACTCTGCAATGCGCAATTATCTCAACACGTGATCCTTGCGGCCCTGGGCTTGCCATGCATATTTCACCTCCGGATTCTCTATGCGTGCACGCGCATCAGCGTTTGCACTAGTGTATGTCACTAACGTTGATACAATGTAAATGTGAACCATAAGGATCGAGTCAGGAGACGTTAGCACATATTGAATGAACAAACGGAGATGCGCTTCAGTTGTCTGTACTAAAGGTTGTGCCTAAGGTAAGCATACTCGTCGAAGCTAGAGTTTGAAAGGCGTTCATAGATAGGCTTAACTTATAGCAACAAGCTACAACCCATTGAATCCACAAATGTACTCGGATCAGAACGGAAACTTCATAACAGGCCATTTCGGTGCCTGTCTATACCCAGCAACTTGCATGAATCGGCTTGAGGACGGTGACCCCTTATTTCTCATACCAGCTCGCTACCATTAGTGTGGGAACTGTACTGAAGTCCTGAAAGAATGCTCGATCCTCTCCGTGGCTACGGAGCTATGTTACATGAGCCGTTGCTGCGGTGGCCGCCTCATGAGAGCGTGCGTTCCCCCAGCTGCGCCTCCTTGGAAATCTTGACGAACACGTCCTCCAGCGTCGTGTTGGCAATCCCCCACGCCTGGATCTGCAGCCGCCCCTTCGCCCGCTCCACTGCAGCAAACACCTTCGCCAGGTCCACCTGCACGCCAAGCCCCGCAGTCATTGCCAGCACGCAGACTGCGGCACACGAGCTGCAACGGGCCAGAAGAGCAGTCCCCAAGAGCTCAATTTCACCAGGGGCGACGGACAATAGCAGCAGTGCATGAGTTAACAGAACAATGCGACGGCCCGGTATGCAGTGGCGGTGGTCGGACGGGCGGCTCACCTCGTCGGTGGGCAGCTCGAACCTCTGCGTGCCCGAGACGGCGTACACGCGGCGCGCCCCGGGGCTCAGCGAATGCACCAGCTCGCCCACGGCGGCCATCTCCTGGGGGGCCGTCGTGACGCTGAACACGTAGCTCCCGCCATAGCGCGAGGTTAACTGCACGCGCCACGCAGTGCATGAGTGAACCAGGACAGGCGGTCAACCAAAACCCGCTTCAGGCGTTGGCTGAGGAGCTATTGATCCATCGACATATTTGTACACAAACCGTATGCCTTTCCCGGGAGTCCCAGCGATAAAACCTTCCAAGCGCTGCCGGCTGAGCTGGCGAGTTGCTTTTGCGGCGGGTGCGGCGCAGGGACTGACCTCTTTGGGGTTGCCTATGCACTGGAACTGGCCGTCCACGAAGATGCCCAGCCGGTCGCACAACACCTCCGCCTCCTCCATCGAATGCGCTGCACAGCAAAGCCCAAGCACCGGCCGAGTCAAGCCCGGGAACAAAGCCTGAAGATTAAAGTGCGCGGCGGGCAGAAATCGAATGGGCGAGACCTCGGTCGGGCGCAGCAGAAACAGGCTTTGCCCTCAGTTCCATTTGCGAAGAGAACCGTGGTAACCAGAAGCTGTCGAGACTGTAGGTTTATGCGCCGGGCGGGGGTGTGCGGCTCACTCGTGAGGATGATGGCCCGGTCCTTCTTGGCGTCCTTGACGACCTGCCACAGGTTGTTGCGCGATGCCGGGTCCAAGCCCGTACTCGGCTCGTCCATGTACCTGCATCGTACAAGTGCCGCTCAGCCGCTACTTCACGCAACGAGCCGGCATGGCCAACCACCCAACACGACTCTTCTTGACCCAACGTATGCAGGCGGGGCCTCGTTCCAGTGCAGTCGAGGAAGGCGCGGTGCGGCAGGGTACTCACACGACGAGGGGGTCCCCGATGAGCGAGATGGCGACGCTGAGGCGGCGCTTCATGCCCCCGCTGTACTGCCCGGCGCGCTTGTCGCCCACGCCGCCTGCGTACAGGTTGACGCTGCGCAGGGAGCGCTCCACGGCGGCTTGCAGCGCGGGGCCGCGCAGGTTCTTCAGGCGCCCGTAGAACAGCAGGTGCTCCCGCCCGCTCAAAGACTCCCACAGCAAACTGCAGCGCGTGGGCCAGCGTCAGCGGACGGACCAAACACAGCTGGAAAAGCTCGACAAAACCACGACTTCAGCAGCCCAGACGACAGTGCCAGAACCCTGACAAGTTGGCTGTGGAAGCCTGCAGCAGGCTCGTGCGCATGGCCTATGCCGATAAGGCTGTGAGAGCGGCTTGGTGGCTGCGCTCACTCGTGCTGCGGGCAGACGCCCATGACGGAGTAGATCTTGGTCATGTCGGTGCGGATGTCCAGCCCCTCGATGAGCGCCGTCCCCGCGCTGGGCTGCAGGAAGCCCACCATCATATTGATGCTCGTCGTCTTGCCCGCACCTGCACGGCCCCACCCCACGCACGTCAGCCGCCGAACCTGCCTGCAGTCATCACATGGTGGAGCACACCTGGCTCGAGCCGCGCCAACACTGGGCGGGAGGCTGCTCGCTCGGCTGCGTGGGCGGGGGGCTCACCGTTGGGCCCCAGCATGCCGAAGCACTCCCCGCGCGGCACGGCGAGCGCGAGCGACTTGACGGCCACCTTGGGCGGGTTGCCGTCGCGGCTGGGGAAGACCTTGTTCAGGTTCTTGCACACGATCACGTTCCCGCCCGTCCCGTCCTTGAGCTGCGCCACTGCGGCGCGCTCCGCGGCCACGTCCGGCCGCTCCATGTCCACGCCCACCTCCGCACTGGCGCGCCGGCCGGCCTCCTTGGGGGCGGGGGTGCCGCGCTTGCCCAGGCAGAACAGCCACGGCTTCTTCACCCCGCTGCCGGAGGACACCACCTGCACAAGTCACGGCAGCAAAACGTGAGCGGCCAGCCTTGATCCGCACATATCCCATGAAACAGGGACTGGGCGGGTCAAGAGACGCCGCACGAGGAGAAAGAGCACCATCTCGAAGGGTGCACAGCCATCCAAAGATCGGGCATGGACGTTCCCCTTGTAAGGCAACAGCGTGTCCTTGACAGGGCAAGAGGGAACAGCTGCCTACAATGATGTGCACAGTCCCTCGCTTTGCACGACAGAGTGGTCGTCTGAGCTCTTGAGCCCGACGCTGGTCGCGCACCTGGTCGAAGTAGAAGCCGAGGAGGAGGAAGACGGCCCACTCGATGAGCAGGATGAGCAGCGCGGTGACCAGCCCGTTCTGGCTGTCGCTCAGATCGCTCCACTTCATGCCGCTCTCGTCCTGGTAGTTGCCGATGAAGGCGGCTTGCGCAAACTCGTAGAGGCCGCGGTAAAGCGCGAAGCAGGGGATCCACTCCAGGAAGAAGATGCCGCTGCCGTTGAAGGTGGGGTCCTCCAGGAAAAAGCGCAGCAGGAACTGGCCAAGCAGCCCGCTGCCAAACACGTACAGGTACCCGCACACTGCACACGAAAGCACGCGGACACAGGCTCAGCCAGGGAAGTGGTCAGCACTCCAGTGCGTGACATGGCGATTAGGGGCTTGATAAGAAGGACGGCTTGCCCGAGAGGATGCAAACGGCCCTGCATGCTATCAAGCACACAGCCGAGCCGTTTGTGCTTGTGCGGTAAGTGGGCAGTACCTGTGGCGGTCTTGGTCTTGGAGAAGATGGTGGCGGTGAGGAAGGTCCACGCGACCTGGTTGTTGAGGAAGACGAAGTAGAAGATGATCTGGATGCCGTAGTCGTTGAGCAAAAAGAACTTGAGCTGGATGGCCGACCCCACCACCATGAAGATGATCATGTACGCCACGCTCAGCACCAAAAACCTGCACAGAATCGGAACGCCCGCTCTACACCGCCGCCACAAGGAGCTTTTCCTTCTCGGCGAAATGAGTGCCACCCAAGGTGAGGCAGCGCAGAAAGAAGGTGCGCCTTGTCCTGAATACGTCCAAGCAATGGAGAAGGAGCCGACCTCCTCGATGCTCCTTGGCGAACACAAAGCAGCCGAATCAGTAGCGCCCGCCAGCTGGTGACATTCTCTGGGCTGGGTGTCCAGTCTGGTGCGAACGCTCTCAGGTCAGGCAGCGTAGGGCGGTGCCCGGATGCTCACCAGGTGTACATGACGATCCAGTAGGGCAGGTCGGTGAGGCCGTGCATGCGCATCATGGTGCGCAGGTTCTTCTCCTTCTCGTACACCAGCGACGCCAGGAGCACCGGGTACAGCATCTGCCACACCCACATGTAGAACAGCGGGCCCAGCAGGGACGAGAAGTCGAGGCGCAGCCGCGTCCCCGGCTTGGGCATGTCCTTCACAAACAGCAGCGGCAAAGACGCCCCCGGCCGCTGCCACCGCAAGAACGCCTGCGCCGCCTGCACCACCGCACCATAGCGACCGCACACGTTAAACTGGGAGGGCTGTGCCTGTTATCACGTGTGCGCAGTCTGCGCACACCAATTCTGGGCCACGCTCGCAATGCTTCCTTCAGACCCAAGTACCACTCAAACGTTGCAAGCAAACGTGCGTGGGAGCACTGGTGTGGGCAAGGCGGCTCACCAGGTTGATCTGGCGTGCGATGCGCATGATGGAGGGCGGCGCATCCGACGTGTTGTTCTGGTAGGTGCTATTGTAGTGGACGCCCACCACGAAGTTGGACGTGCTCGTGTTGCGCCAGTCGTACGCGGCTGTGTACTCGCTGATGGTGCGCTCCGGGTTCCCCCCTCGGTACCCCACAAACAGCTGCTCATTGATTGACGCAACATTGCTGTTCCACAGCGTAACTGCTGGCGAGCACGTCCAATCTGCAGCAGGCAGAGGCGGTGAGCGCCAACACAAGCGGGCCAACAGGCAGCGCCCTGAATAACCTTTAGCCACAAGGCAACCACAGCAGCTGGGAACGCACAAAGGCACACGAGGTAAGATTACAATCGGGGGCTAGAAGGAAAGCGGGAATTGTCGGCAAAATTGGCCGAATAGAGTTGGTGAGAACTGTATCCTCAAGCGTAAGGGCAGCAGAACAGGCCCTGGTGCCTGTTTGACTGACAAGAGGCAGGCGCATCCCCTCACTCTGGGGGTTGCTGATCCCAAAGCTGCTATAGATGGGGGCGGCTGCAGCTTGACCAAGGGCCAGGAGCTGTGTGACATTGGCGGGGCAGGTGTCGTTTTGCAGAAAGTAGAGCGCGTAGCGATTCTGGAAGGCCAGCTCGTACTGCAGTGTCCCCGAGGAAGGGGCTGCCGTGCCTGGATACTGGCTCGCCAGGGCGGTGTTCACATCCGACAGCACCAGAGGTGCCGGAGATGGCTGAAACAGGTGGGCGCTCAGATCTGCAAGAACGGGCACAGCAATCACTACGAAGGATCAGAGGAGTGCGGCAGTACGCTCTCTATTACAAGCTGCAGGGCACTGACTTCAGCAGCATTGATGGCCATATCGAAAGGGCCAAACAGTGGTGTAACAGAAGGAGGTAGCGCACCATATGCCAGGCTTGGATTCCCGCCAGTGAACGGCACCGCCAGCGGACAGCTCCCGGAGGCTTGGCAGCCCACAGGGAGGCCCGGGGCCTCTGCACGGTACTCAGGCAAAGGCACCTGCGCGCAACCAAGAAGCAGGGTGAGAAGAGCTCCTGAGCTGGCGAACTTTTGAGGCACTTTGCAAAGCAACTCGAAGGGCCATGTTACCCCAAGTGACAAGAGAGAATACAAGAATATGCAGAGCACCACAGTATCTTAATCAGCTGATACTCATCAACAGTTGCCATTTTCTGGAAGGCATCAGCTTCCACCTGGGAGCTTTTGACACCATCTGAATCCGTCTGCACCGATCTGACCTGCAAGAGGGCTGGCCACTCTGCCGGACTGGTGATGGGGCAGTAGACAGCCTGGTCCACATCCGAGTACTCCAGGCCGCAGATGTTCTTGTCCCGTCTGAGGCAGTCGGTTGGGTCGGAGGCGCTGAACTCGATACACTTGCAGCCGCACTTGAAGCTGTCCCCGTCCAGCAGAATGTTGATGAGCGCCTGCAGGATGCCCAGCAGCGCGCACAGCAACACCGGTGTCAACAGGAGGCACAGGTTGTTGGCCCAGCTGCGCTTCTGGAACACAAAGTTCTTGCGCATGATCGCGTTGGCCTGGACACCGAAGGTGCTCTGGAGCGCTGCAGCACGATCCTCCCTGCCTGCAGGCCCTGGCAACACCTCGACGCGATCCCCATTGCGGCCCATGGCCGTGGGTCTGCAGCAAGTCGGGCTCAATCAAATCAAGAACAGATTGATGCTGAACTGAGGGTTGCCGTGGCGCGACTGATGCACCGCCAGCTTGCAATGTGGCCGTAGCAACTGCCAAGCTCCTGGTGGTGTATTTATAAATCTGGGGATGCAAGAGCGACAGGCTAATTCATACACTCAATTACAGCTCCACAAGCCTTCGGTTCGTCTTGCAAATTTCCAACGCTCTTGATCAGACTGCTGCCACCACGCAACTATGTCCAGTCCGTCCTGGACGACACCCACATCTGCTGTGCAATAGCTGTAGGTAGGTAGACTGTAACAGTCTGCACGGTATTCAATTTGCGACTGTCCGGCTAGGTAATTAGCGTGTTGGTCCGGTCTGTTGCTTTTCGACGGTCGATCGTTGCATTGTTCAAGGACGGTGTCGCGCCCGCGGTAAGTACCGTACTGCCAACTGGTACGCGCCGGGCGTGCACAACCACTTGCAACTTGAACGGTGCGGTTGGCCAAGCAGGAAGTTGCGGCCCATTTGTGTACGTAAGCAATCTCGCCTGGTACCGGTACGTGTCTGGCCTACATTGACGTGGTCAGCGCTCGTTTCGCCGGCATGTTGCCACAGTTGGTGCATGCCTCTCCTGCAGCAAAACCGTCATTTTCCCGTCACATTCTCCTGCAATCAC